TCCTCTGTTCTGTGCTATGGGAAGAAGAAAACAGGAGAGGGGCAAAGGGTCCTATTCGTGTTAAGGGGATGTAGTTATATACTTAGAAGGGGAAAACTGTACAAAATTGGTAGTGGGAAATGGGGATGGGAAAAGGTTCTAGAACTGACATAAATATTAGAGAAAAATTTTAATGGAGACAATTGAAAAGGTGGAGCGGAGAGATAGTAAAATTGAGAATGGCTAAAACACAGGAGAAAGAGGTCAGGTGAAGAGATGCAGGTAAAAGTAGGAGGAGCTATTAATGGACAGGAGAGAAGTCCCCTACCCTCTATGAACTGAACTGGGGGAAAGGAGTAGGCAGAGCACACATACACAGATGGGCTCATAAAAGAAAAAAGTATAAAGCCAGACGTGGTGGCGCACGCCTGTAATCCCAGAACTCAGGAGGCTGAGGCAGGAGAATCGTTGTGAGTTCGAGACCAGCCTGGGCTACAAAGTGAGCTCAAGGCCAGCCTGAACTGCATAGCAAGACCCTGTCCCAAAAAGACAAAAAAAGAGCTGGGGGTATAGCTCAGTGGCACGAACACCTGCCTGGCAAGTGCAAGGTCCTGAGTTTAATTCCCGGTACCAAAAAAAAAAAGAAAGAAAAAAGTATGAAGTAATAGGATAAAAGTGTGGGGGGAAATCACAGAAGGAGAAAACCAGCAAGGAGTAAAAAAACAAAAAGAAATTTAAAACAAAATAAAATCAAAATATAATACAATCAAATAAAGAATAGTAAAAGAAAAGTTTCTATTGTTTTGGCCATGTGGCTCCTTTCCTCAGGCTCGTGTTAAGGCCCAGAGCTCGGGGCAGGTCATGTCTCTGTACACACGGGCGGTCTAAGGTGTCAGTCCTGCCCAGAACAGCGCTGGGTGTGGAGATCTGCTCGCGGTGTGCGCTCCTAGTGCTTTGGAGCACAGGCTGTGGCCAGCCTCTGACCGCGAGAGCCGACTCTGATCCCCAGCCCCAGCCTCTCAGGACTCCCCACAGCGGCTCTCCCATGCGGTCCTTCTCTCAACCCCCCTGGGAACTTAGCAGTGTGAGGCAGCCAAGGGGCTGTCCTGGGACTCGGGCTCAAACACCCAGCTCTTCCCCACTCGCGTCCCCACCAGCTCCTGCTCTGCACAACCGTGTCCTCAGTCACCAGCTGTTGACTCTCGAGGCCCCTTGGGAAGCAGTGTCTCGCGTTCTTACGGCCATCCGCAACTGCATGTGATTCTCCAGGTCCTGGTGCAGCTCTCCGTTTCTCCAAGAGCAGAAAAGTTGTTCTTTTCACTTTGCCACGAAGCTGGGGCTACCCAGCCACTGCCCACAGTGCCTTGCGGTCTCCCCTCTGGGGCAGGGGGCTATTTCTTCTGTATCACTTAATCCTATTTCCTTTTCCTCTGTCAGTTCCCTCCTGATTCCCATGAACCCTCCACTCACTTAAGCTCCTCTTCAAACTGTCGTTTTCCAGACTCTAGACACTTTGTCCTGGAGAAGCTGAGTCGCAGGCACTGACTGCTCAGCCATTTCTCCTTCCATAGCTAAATCTTGGAAACAGCTCAGATACCCATCAACAGATAAATGGATAAAGACGATGTGATTTTTACATACAATGGAGCACTACACTGCCATAGAGAAGGATAAAATTGAGACATTTTTTAGGTAAGTGGGTGCACCTTGAGAACATAATTTTTAGTTGAATAAATCAGACACACATGTTTAAATATCATATTTTTTGTCTGTGTAAGAAATCAAAAGGGTAAATAAGGAACAAAATGGATGATAGACACTAGGAAGCAAGATAAAAATATTCAAATGGAAAGGAAAATGAGAGAGGCAGAAAAAAAGAAAATAGAAGGAAAAAATGGAAACAAAACTTCTGTAAGTGGGAAGGGGAAGAAGAGTTGGAGGGGAGAGAAATGGGAAAAAAAGAAGAGTCACCAGGCGTGGTGGTGCACACCTGTAAACCCAGCACTCGGGAGGCTGAGGCAGGAGGATCATTGCAAGTTCGAGACCAGCCTGGACTACAAAGTGAATTCAAGGCCAGTCTGAACTGCATAGTGAGACCCTGTCTCAAAAAGACAAAAAAAAAAGGAAGAGTCAATAAATGTTTATGTTATGTACATGTTCAAATTCCCTATGGTGAATGTGATCATTATATATATCAAAGTATACCAATAAAATTAATTCTTTTAAAAAGGTAACAGCCAGCCGTCACCAGTATTTGCAGCCCTGGTTTACGAACCATCTGCCTCCTCACTGGCTCTGCCCCTCACTCATTAACCCAGTTCCAGTCTACCCGCCTGTGCTTTTGCTTTGCATCTTACTGTGTCTTTATCTCATTTTTTTTTTTTTTTTTGGCTCGATGCGATTCTCTCCCTGGCTTGAGTATTCTCTCACCTACATCCTCACAGATTTCCTCATTGATTCCCTCCTAGTAATGGGGTTAATGGTACTCATACTCAACCAGCCCTAATTCCTTCTCTCTGCAAGCAGCCATCTCCCGTCCCCTGACAAGGGCCTCCTCTGGCCCCATGAATGAGACTCGAAAAAGTAACGGCTTCTCATATATAATTGTGTCGTTGGTGTATGTTTTAGATGCACAAACAAACCACTTGGGGCATGAGCCCTTACCCTGTGATCTGAGAAACAGTCATTGTCTTCCTTTCCAGCAGACCCTGGTGAGGTTTTATGTGCTTGGGGATCATGAATGCCGTGCGGGAAGGGATGATTACTTACCTGCAAATCAGTATCTTCATCTTCAGACAGTAATGACTGAGATCGTATAATTACGACCCTGAATTTTGAAGCCCAATGTCCTGGGTCTAAATCTTGCCTCTGCAGTTTTCTACTATATTCCGAACTCGGATATTTCGTGTGTCTGCGGCGGCGGGGAGGGGTGCTATGTAAAGTTAAGCTTTTTGACCATAGCAAACTGGAAATACAGCATCAACATCATTCGTTCAGCAGTCAGTAACCATCATTATTGTGGATACTGACCCCTGCTCCAGCTCCTCTGTTTCCCCAGATCCTCCCCCTTCATTCCTGAATCCTTCTGTGTGTTGTTTCAACTACATTATTTGTGTACCGTATGGTCTAGCACTGTGCTACTAAGATGACAAATCCTAGATTCTATGTTTAAGAATGGATGGATGGATGGATGGATGGATAGATAGATATCACAGGGACATGCAAACAAACGCATTCATCAAAATATTAAGGGCGCATCACAATTTCCAGGGCACACTGGCATATAAGCGAGGTCATGGTGAGTTCCGCCTGGAGAGCAAGGGGAGGAGAGCTGACTCTTGGTAGCCTGCTTCCTACCTGTGCCTGCGGATCCGTCCCAATCCTGACACATCTACATAAGACAAAGTTTCCACAAATGGGCTCAGAACTATCACCCCACACCCTAGAGTCTAGTGGCCTAGTATATGATTTGGGTCCCCACACTGCTGCCAAGTTCTCATTATCATCATCATGGTCATCATCAGTTAAGGAATCTGCTCTGGTCTGTACGCCTGTCCCTTCCCTGAGCCCCTCAAAAGCTCAGCTCATAGAATTAGGCAGTGTTCTTGTCCACATATGATTCCAAATCCTTCCTCAAGACTTATGCCACTATGGCCATAGTCCCTGCCTCACTAATGTAAAACTGAGCTTTTTGGGGGTTTTTTTGGTCTTTTTTCTGGTACCAGGAATCGAACTCATGACATCGTGCTTGCCAGGCAGGCACTGTGCTGCTGAGCTAAATCCCCAGCCCCTTCACTACTGTATTTTGCTCTTGCCAGCCCTTTCCTCTGGGACCTGGGTTTTACTTTATATGCCAGCTGGGGGTCCTGTCATCCAAATGGAGAATGATCTCCAGAGTAGCCACCCATTTATCTAGACCCATCTGAATCCCTCACAGCAAGGGTCCCACATAACTGGAAAACCTAGCCCCAACCATGTCTGAATGTCAGTCAACTTGGGACCAAGATTCTTTGACCAAATTTTATTCTATTATGTTTTGTTTTGGTTTTTTGAGACAGAGTCTCACCGTGTTGTCCAGACTAGCCTTGAATTCACTAGTAACCCAGGCTGACCTAGACATTGTAGCAATCCTCTGCTTCAGCTTCCTGAGCACTGGGATTACAGGCGTGTACTACCATGCCTGGCTTGATCAAATTTTAATCAGAATCCTCTGAGCTATCTTCTAGGCCTCAGCTGTTTTGTCTTTGGCCTTCTCAGCCCAGTCTTAGCAAGAATGCCTCTCATACTAAGTTTAGCAAGAGTCCCCCAAATTTTGATGCCTAAACACCCTTGATATCTGATGTACTCTCTCATCTCCCACCTTTGATATAAAAGTCTTTGACCTGCCCTTAGCAAGAGTCCTGTTAGTCAAGTTAGCAGCAATTTATTCCTACCCTGAGGTCTCCTTTAGTAATTTTCCATCCACTGACCACCCCTCTTCTCATTCACCTCTTTGGTTATAAATCTCTGCTTGTCTTTGTTATATTAGGAGTTGAACTCAATTTATCTCCCATATTGACTTCTAGTACAGCAGTCTTGAATAAAGTCTTCTTTGAGACAGGGTCTCACTGTGCAGTTCAAACTGGCCTTGAGCTCACTTTGTAGCCCAGGCTGGTCTCGAACTCCCAACAATCCTCCTGCCTCAGCCTCCTGAGTGCTGGGATTACAGGCATGCACCACCATGCCCAGCTTTCTTTACCATTTTAACAAGTATCAAAAAATCTTTTTCTTTATCATGTTCCATGCCCTAAACAGAACTGTGGAAAGCTATGGTCCAGCTGCCCTTCTGGGTCATGCTGCCTCCCTTGCCTCTAGGAATCAGGTTTGATTCCAGGCCCTCAAACCATTCCTCAATAGCCCTAAGTGGACACACATAGCAACAGAGCTCTAGTAGAATCACCTGAAATGATAAACCTAGTTCATTCAGTCAGTCAAATAATCAAATCGTATGAATAAATGTAAATGACTTCTCAACATAAAGATGTTTTCAAAGACCTTCCTCATGTATTATAGACATAAACAAAATACATGCACTCAAGGCCTGGAGTAGCTGTCTTGTGCTCTTTTGAATAATAAAAAAAAAATCGTAATGGATGCAGAGCTTCAGTGCTCCCAAGGTGCCATGCACACACTCACTAGCCTCTTTTGGAACAAAGAATTGTCTGAAATTTTACCTCTTGGGTTCCAAGTATGTTGTTGTTGCTGGTAGAGAGATTTTATTGTAAAAGTCTCCTCACCTAGGGCTCTGGTGATTTTTTTCATATTTTATTCATCTCTTCCATTTGGCTTCAAATAAGGTAAAAGCTTGACAAAATTCAAATTTTACTGAACTTCCTGTTGATCTCTTCGTGTTGAACTTCGTGTTGATCTCATGGAAACTTCCTCTTGCGTATCCTCCTTTGGGGGAACCATTTCTGAAGCTCGTTGTAGGAAATGACGTATTAACCATTCATTGGTTCTCATGGCTTTGCAGTGGGGGCAGGGGCTTTCTCGGATTTGCTGACTTCCCAGATTCTGGTGCCTCTCAGCGACTTTTCTCCTTTGAACGCTGTCTAGTGAGGGTTGGTGCTCGCTTTCAGTCTCCTTCCACGAAGAGGCTCCCGAGTTAGATTCTTCACTGTCACACTCAGTGGTTTCACTGTCTGGTTGAACTGGGTTCACCTTGCGCCTGACTCGTCTTTGTTCAAGATAAGCGTTGACCAAAGCTACTTCTGAGTCAGTGATGGCGAAAAGTTGATTCTGCTTTGATTTCTTCGTCATTTGTGTAGAGTCCCAGCAGCCACCTTTGCTGTGCCGCTGATAGGAAGTGTCTTTAAAGAAAATCAACAAGTTAGATTCACTGTTGGTAGTAAAACTACACATCACCCATGAAGCCTACAGCACGAGCAAACTCACACTTACTGATTAGCTGTCAAGTCACCAGCCTTCTCCAGTATTTGCAAATACCAGACACTGACTACATTTCCGGTATCAGATCCCAAGCTCCTAAAGACCAGAAGGGTCAGATGGTCAGAGGGATCTGATAGATCTTGGCATATCATTTATTTGTTTGTTTGTTTATTTTTTGAGACAGGGTCTCTCTATGTAGCCTTGAACTGACTATGTAGTCCTGGGTGGCTTCAAGCTTGTAGTGATCCTCTTGCCTCAGCCTCTTGACTGCTGGTTTGGACCACCACACCCAAATTAAATTTTGAAATTTCATGAAGACTGAAACATAAAATCAAAGAGAAAGACCTCGAGACTTTTCCAAAGAAGGGGCTTTGCTTATCTTTGCCATGGGGTCTCAAAGACTCAAGTGAATCCATGAATGTGATTTGCATAGCAAGAACTAAGAAGGATTTCTTTTTTTTTCTTTAAGCAGTGGTATGCTGGAGTTGGCTTAGACAAGCTCATTAGAGCTGATCAGTGAGATGTTTAAAACAGTCAAAACTAAAATTTAAGCCAGGTATGGTGGTGCACACCTATAATCCCTGCACTCGGAAGGCTGAGGCAGGAGGACTGCTATGAATTCAAGGTCACCCTGGGCTACATAGTGAGTTCAAGGTTAACCTAAACTGCATAGTGAAACCCTGTCTCAAAAAAAATTTAATTAAATTAATACAAACTTACAATTTAATCAATCTACTTTTAAAAGTGTAATAATTACTTGCTGGTCACCACTTCCTAGTTAACTTACTATAGTTTATTGTGCCATATGTTCTTAAACTGTTTACGTCTGTTGTATGTGGATGTTGGAAATACTGTAGGAGGGTGTATGTCTGCATGTCTCTCCCAGCCCCATGTTCAACGACGCTGTGCTGGCAGCTTGAAACTAGATTTGGTGGGAGGATTTCTACCCTGAAAATCAGCAAACACTAAAAATCAGGGCTTTAGTGTTTAGCAAACACTAAAAATCAGGTTGTGTTGTTTGTTGACTGTCTGCTTTGATTTTATTGGTTTTTTGTATTATGGTTTTGTGTTTACAGTGCTGGGGATTGAACCCAGGGCTTTCACACTGAGCTACATCTCCCACCTTTTCTTAATTTTCATTTTAAGATAGGGACTCACTAAGTCACTAAATTGCCCAAGCTGGGCTTGAACTTGTGATCCTCCTGCCTCAGCCTCCCAGGGTGCTAGAATTACAGGTGTGTTCATCATAGTCTGTTTGAAGTATGATTTTGTCTAGGTTAAAGAGATAGAGATGAGTTCAAGGCATAGTGTGCTCAAAGGCAGCCTGAACTACGTAGACAGACCCTGTCACACAAAAAAAACAAAAAACAAAAAAAAAGTGCTGGGGATATAGCTCAGCGGCACAGCGCCTGCCTGGCAAGCTCGAGATCATGAGTTCAGTTCCTGGTACCAAAAGGAAAAAGAACAAGAAAAAGTGATAGAGAACATGTCATGCTTCAAAAGGAAAAAGAACAAGAAAAAGTGATAGAGAACATGTCATGCTTCTAACCACTACCTTGTGAATAGCACCCAAAAGTGAAACCTATTCCTTCAATACCCTGAAGCTATTATTTGTCTCAGCAAAGACCCATTCACATTGACAACCAACTGAAGTTCTAACACACACCTTCCATTTCAATTTCATCTTACTCTTCAAGTTTAAGGAAGATAACATTCATGCTGAGATTACCTCTTTCCATCAGATGCAGACATGGGATGGCTGAGGATATAAGGGTCTGCCAAAACTGAAGGGAAACGTTTTGTGTGACTCAGTTGTCTAGATAGAATTTACCGTAAAGAGTTATGTGTATTTTATTCCTTATAAATTCTGTGATATGGGCTGGGGATTTAGCTCAGCGGCAAAGCACCTGCCTAGCAAGCACAAGGTCATGAGTTCGGTTCCTGGTACCAGAGAAAAACCAAAAAATAAAAAAAATAATAAAAAAAAATAAATTCTGTGATATGTACCCTTTATATCTGTAAAAAAAATTTTTTTTCTTGAGACAGGGTCTTGCAGTGAAGTTCAGGCTGGACTTAAATTCACTACTTAGCCTAGACTGGCCTCAAATTTTGTGGCAATCCTCCTGCCTCAGCCTCCTGCATGCTGGGATTACAGGAATGTGCCACCGTGCCCAATTTATATATCAGTAATCTTTCTAAATAAATACATGTATACACACAAATATTTTGAAGTCAGTTGTTAAACATTCAGTAGCACACTGCTGCTTATAAGTTGTTTAAAAAGATGTCAAGTGATACACGTGTATCCATATTTATAGCAGCACAAATCATTCATCGCTAAATCTTAGAAGTGGCCTATAGTTCCATCAACAGATGAAAGAATAGAGAAAATAAGGTACATATATATGATGGAGTACTACTCTGCTGTGAAGAAGAATAAATTTGAGTCATTTGTCGAAAAATGGATGTAACTTGAGACTATAACATTAAATGAAATAAATCAGATATACAAGCTTAAGTATATCATGGTTTCTCTTTTATGAGAAACTCAGCATATACAAAATTAAAGAGAAAAATAAAAGACAGGTAATAGGAAAGAGAAAGATAGATCTTTTGCACAGGGAAAGGGAACAAAGGAAGAGGGGACCCTTAAAAAGAATTAAGGTGTGTTATGCACATGTCCCAACTCCCCACGAGGAATGTACTCACTATGAACTGCAGGCATGGACTAATAAAAATTTTAAAATAACATGTCAAAACAAAAAAGATGTCCCGTGCTGTTCCTTTCTGTAACAGCACCAACGATGACAATGTGGGAGGGGAGAGTGCGGAGGAGCGGCAGGAGAGTCTGGGCTCTACAGGGCAGTTACAGGGACACGGCTGGTTTCTGCGCTAGGAAGCAGGGAGAGAAACAGTGGTGTGGGCGCCGCTGGCGTCCCCTCCGCTGCTTGCTGTCCAGCTCAGCCCAGCCCTGTTTTCTGGTCAAAGCCCCGTACCGAGCACGAACTGGCTCTCACCTTTAGTAACTGGAGCACTCGTCCCACGGTCTTCATCCTGTTTATCCTCAGATATCTGTTTCAGAAATATCAGTTAGAAGGACAGCCTCCAGTAGCTCTCTTTCGCTCGCACTTACTTGTTAAGGAACTATTGCTGGAGGCCCTTTGATAATGACTAAACATTCAGCACCCCTACAAGTAAGTACTTACTGAGTTCCTGTGTGGCTGAGACCCTGCTTCTGCTGTCTCTTCAGGAGGCCACACTTTGATAGCAGACTCTCCCAAACCCTTGAACCGAGCAAAATAGTACAAATGCAAGAAGGGAAATCCTACCGATGGGGAGCTATGGGTTATAAAGTTTTCCTGCACCCTTTTACTGTACAAAGAACTTTTAGTTAAAAACAGATTAACTTTTAGTTAAAAACAGAAATGGCGGTGCACATCTGTAATCCCAGCACTCGGGAGGCTGAGGCAGGAGGATCATTGCCAGTTCTAGACCAGCCTGGGCTACAAAGTGAGCTCAAGGCCAGCCTGAACTGCATAGCAAGACCCTGTCTCAAAAAGACAACAACAACAACAAAAAGATAGGGCCAGGGATATAGCTCAGCAGCACAGCACCTGCCTGGCAAGCTCAAGGTCCTGATTTTGATTCCTGGTACCAAAAATAATAATTAATAATAATAAAAATATCCTTTTTTCTCCCCATTTTGAAGGTTATCTTTTAAAAACATGTGTTGGGGCTCTCTAGATAGGAAGTTTATAAATATAAAAGTATAGTTAGTTATTTCTACATCATCAGGTGGGCTTTTTATTTCTTTTTGTGTATTTTCCTATAATATCCCCATTTTCTATAATATGTACTTTTGTAATGGAGGAGAAAGGTGTTTAAAAACACTTATTGTGGTTCATACCTATAATCCCAGCACTCAGGAGGCTGAGGCAGGAGGATCTTTGCGAGTTTGAGACCACCCTGGCTACAAAGTGAGCTCAAGGCCAGCCTGAACTGCATAGCGAGACCCTGTCTCAAAAGGACATAAATAAATAAATAACCATAAAATCAAAAGAAAGATTTTGCACTAAGCAAAGTGGAATCATATGAACAGAGGTTACAAAAACCATTTTATTAGCTGTCTTCGTGTGTGACTTAGTGAATGAAAACAGCAGCAGGCCCTGCCAGGAGGGGCTGGGTAGAAAATGTGGGCGGTGCTCTGTCTCCCCGCCGCTACCCGACTCTGGGATCTTACTAAGCCACGTAACACCTCTCAGCTCAGTTTCCACATATGCAAAGTATAGATTTCGGGTAACATTGCCCAGAATAATACAGCACTAGCAGTCTGAAGAAACATTAAACAAATGTATAAACTAGCCAGAGTATTCATGGGGTCTGAAAGCACAGGGATGAATGTATCTTCACAAGGGGCAAATCCAGAGGAAATCAGCCGGCTTCATGTTGGAGGATAATTACCACCACATTGCCATGGTGCTTCTACCACTACTTCAAGCTTTGTAAATAAAGGTTCGTAGTTTAACAGAAAATAAAGAAGTTCAAAGGGAAGGAAAAATTCCATCCTCCTTGACCAGCTCTCCTATGCTTCTCAGATTTCAAATCTGGGACCCTTCAGAAGCAGCAGTCTGGCCAATTGTAGCTGCCACAAGGGTACAGAATGAAAGAGGAAACTCCTAAGATAATTAAGGTTTTAGTCAGCACTGAATAGATTTAATTCCACATTTCAAACTGTGCTTTTGAAGTAAACAAATAACATGACAGGAAATCTAGGTCTCTTCTCCCTCCATCACTCTGCCACTAACCACTCCTGTGACATGGGACAAGTCACTTCATTTCCTTGTGCCTTATCAACACCACCACCACCATCAACAACAACAACAAAAGCAGAGAATAATGATGTCTTACTTCCCTACAAACAGAGCGCTGGACCACATGTTTTCTGGAGGTGAGGCGTTCAGGGCTTGATGACCTCAAAGAGCTGGCACAAGCAAGGGACCAAAGGAATAGCTCAGGCCTCTGGAGTGGTCTTCATGATAAAATGGTCAGTGATCAATTTCAATTTTTCCTTAATTTTCTAATGTAGCTTTTTCTTGCTGGGTGTGGTAGCACGCCTATAATCCCAGCACTCAAGAGGCTGAGGCAGAAGGATCATTGCAAGTTCGAGACCATCCTGGGCTGCAAAGTGAGCTCAAGGCCAGCCTGAACTGCATAGTGAGACTGTGTCAAAAAAAAAAAAAAAACAGGGCTGGGGATATAGTTCACCGGCATAGCGCCTGCTTGGCAAGCCTGAGATCATGAGTTCGATTCCCAGTACAAAAAAAAGACAAAAACAAAAACAAAATAAAAATAAAAATAAAGAAGTATTCAGATGAAACTTCTTGGCTAGGATGTGGGGAGGGGAAGTTTTTGGTGATTATAATGGAACCCAGCCTCTCCTCTCTGTCCAGACTGACACAGCACTCAGTCTAGCTGACCATTGCCAAGCCTTGCCTTTGGCTATAATGCAAAATGATGGTGGCTTGATTAATAATCACCACCCTGGTATTAATGGCCAGCAAGGATTCCATGTTAGCAATATATGAACTTGTTGCTATATGTTGGGGATTGCTACCCTGATGAGATGGACTGTATCATTCCTAAGATGATGCCATTTTCTTCTGCTAATTAAGTGATCAAGAATGGTGACTCTATGCCAAGTGTGGTGGTGCACACCTGTAACTCCAGCACTTTGGAGGAGGCAGGAGGATTGCATGAGTTCGAGGCCAGCCTAAACTACAAAGCAAGACCCTGTCTCAAAAAAAAAAAAAGACGACTTTAGTTCTATTTATTTTAGGTCTGCACCATATTCTGTGCAGAAAGAAAATATTTCCTCATTCTAAAAACCCCAAATCCTACAATATGTGTCCTTTCCCTAATGACAAACTTTTGTAAATTTAATTAGCAATATATGGCTACAAAGGAGTTTATTTATTTTTTAAGAGTAGGAAGAATTTATGGAAAGGACCCTTCAGTCTGAGGGAGAGAGGCAGAAGGGGGCCTAGAAAGCAGGTTGCCCCTACAAAAGAGTTCAGAAGTCCTTAACCAGTAGGGAAGCTTATCCCTGCATTGTATGGCATATACACAATTTGCAAACAACATAAATGTCTCAAAATCACAGAATCTTTATGGTGCAAGGACAAAACAAAAAATAAGCAATCAAAAATGCTACTAAGTGAATATAACTTGGTGAAGTATTTGTAATATATATATGTGTATATATATATATA